GCTCAGCATCTGGGCAGCTATCTAGCCCCTGGGATCACCAATAGAATTGGACTAATACCAAGGACTGGTTACCATAATACGTCATTCACTCATGAATATCATTAAATGAGCTTTGTTTCAAGAAACCTTAAACCTTCGACTTTTAGCTCACTTCAGTCTTTTCTCAGCATTCCAGAACATGATTAATGGTGACACCATGCCACAATTAAGTTATATGTGGCTCAAACTCTAATTCACAATTGATTAGTCCTGTAACAATGGCCCTGAATAATGTGGTGTTAATGGCCAGCCCTGGTGGTCTGCTCCTACCAGATATCCATTACTAAGTCTACCCTGCATTTTACAACATCCCTACTGGAGCCCCGTATCTACTCAAGAGGACATCTGCTTTATTTAATGTCTGCTAATTATGTGCAATTGATCAGAGTAGAATAGACAATGTTGAGGTTACTACCCTAGTCTCTAGAGACAAGATAGAAAATATGATATTTTTAAAAAGTCAATCAGTTTTTCCTCAAGTAAATTATGTTTCTATAGCTGGAAGATAGGTGCCCTCACACCCTATAGGGGGAGAAGACAGCTTGGGAACCATGACCTTGGAAAGTGGCAGAAGTCAATGGTTATGCAGATAGGAAATTAAATTCTTATAGGCCCACAGAACGAAATAAAAGGATGCTTGAAACTGTGGGGAAAGGACGTAAAGTAGACAATAAAGGGGAATGAACAAGAAGGCAGAAGAGGCAGGTGGCAAAGAAATGTAAACCCGCATTAGAAATAAAGAGCACTGGTAAAGGTATCTACACTGGTAAATTAAAAAGATGGTTACCATGGAATGAATGTTTGTGTCCTTCTAGAATGCATATATTGAAATCCGAATCTCCCATGTGATGGAATTTGGAGGTGGTAATTGGAATCAAATTAGGTCTTGAGGGTGGAGCCCTTACTTAGAAAAAGAAGAGAAATGAGCTCTCTTTCTCCACCATGAAAGGACACAGCAAAAAGGTGGCTATTTGCAACCAGAGAAGGGTCCCCAAAAAACTCAACCATTCTGGTATCTTGATCTTTTTCTTCCCAACTACCAGAACTATGAGAATTAAATGGTGTGTAAGACATTTAATCTATGGTATTTTGTTATACCACCCTAAACTGAGTAAGATAACAGTATAGATTTATCTTTTCATTTGAAACTCTTTTCTTCTCCCAGAAGATTGATGGAGACATTTAAGGAGATGATTTAAAAAGCAACTGCATAAAACATTAATTGTAAGTCTGTTGATGGGTCCACAATGTATAGAGCTGTGATTTGTGATAGCATGAGCTTACAGAAGGGAAGAGTGACCAGAGTTATATAGAAGCAAAGTTTTGTACAGCATGACTTTAAAACAAAAATTGTTACTAGAGATAAGGAATTGTATAATGATAAAAGGGTCAATCCATCAAGAATATCTAACAATTATAAATATACTCACACCTAGTAGAGTCTCAACATAGATGAGGCAAAACTGATCAGAATATAAGACAAAACTAGAAACATCAACAATGATAGTTGGAGACTGAAATATACCACTTCCAGAAATGGATACACCAATTAGACAGAAAATCAGCAAGAAAATAGAAGAGTTGAACAACACTATTAACCAATTAGATCTAACCCATATCTGTAGAACTTTCTACCCAACAACATTCTCCTCAAGTACATATGGAACATTATTCAGGATGGACTATTTATAGGCCATAAAAAAGTCTAAATAAATGTAAATGGATTCAAATCATACAAAGCATGTTCTCCTATCACAGTGAAATGAAATTAGAAATCAGTAACAGAGAGAAACTTGGGGGAATCAACGAATATGTGAAAATTAAACAGCATATTCCTAAATAACCAATGGGTTAAAGAAGAAATCACAAGAGATATTGGAGCATACTTTGAAATGAATGAAAATAACTCAAAATTCTAAAACTTACGGGATGTAGTTAAGCTAGTTCCCAGAAAGGAATTCAAAGCTATGTCTACATCCAAAAAAAAAAGAAGAAAAATGTCAAATAATCTAATCTTCAACATTAAGAAACTAGAAATGATGAGCAAACTAAGCTTAAAAGAAAGCATAAGGTAGAGAATAATTAAAATGAGAGTAAAAATAAAATAAAAATATAAAAACAAGAGAAAATCAACAAAATTAAAAATTATTTGAGGAGATTGACAAAATTGAGAAATTTTTAGCTCCCATGATCAAGAAGAAAAATGGAGGACTCAAATTCCTAAAACCAGAATGAAAGAGGTGACAGTATTACTAACCTTACAGAAATAAAAAGTATTATAAGAAATATTATGAATAATTAATGACAAAGCATTAGATAAACTAGATGAAATGGACAAATTTTGAGAATGACACAAACTACCAAAACTAATTCAAGAAGTAGTAGAAAATCTAAATACATCTACAAGTAAAGAGATCAAGCGGGTCACCAAAAAACTTTCAACAAAGAAAAGGCCAGGACCAGATGGCTCCCCTGGTTAGTTCTACCCAATGTCTAAGAACTAACATTAAACCTTCACAAAGTCTTCCAAAAAAATAGAAAAGGATGGAAATATTTCCTAACTCATTCCAGGAGGTCAGTATAACCTTGACACCAAAAGCAGACAACATCACACGAAAAGAAAAACTATAGGTCAATATCCCTTATGAATATAGTCCTCAACAAAACACCAACAAACAGAGTCTAGCAGTATATTAAAAGAATTATACACCAGGTGCCTGGGTGGCTCGGTTGGTTAAGTGACCAACTTCAGTTCAGGTCATGATCTTGCAGTGTGTGAGTTCAAGCCCCACATCAGGCTCTGTGCTAATAGCTCAGAAGCTGGAGCTTGCTTCAGATTCTGTCTCCCTCTCTCTCTGCCCCTCCCCTGCTCATGCTCACTCTTTCTCTCTCTCTATCAAAAATAAATAAACAAAAAATAAAATAAAATGAAATAAAAAGATTATACACCATAGCCAAGTGGGATTTATCTCAGGAGTGGAAGGTTGGTTCAACACACAAAAATCAGTCAATGTAATTGTATTAGTTCGTATTGCTGTTATTACAAATCACCACAAACTTAATGGCTTAAAAGCAACACAAATTGATTAGTATCTCCAAATATCTATCTCTGTTCCATCATCAGACCACCCTATCTGACTCTAATTCTTATCCTCCTTCTATAAGAACCCTTGAGATTACATTGGTTCCAACCAAAAAATCCTGGAAAATCTCCCCATCTCAGAATCTGTAATCTAATCACATCTATAAATTCCCTTTTAGCATGTAAAATAATAGATTCACAGGTTCTAGAGATTAGGACTTGGACATTTTTGAAGTGTCATTATTTAGCATACTACATATTAATAATATAGTAATAGGATGTTATTTGTGTTAATCAATTTTATAGATTTAAATATTAATAGAACAAAAGAAAAAATATGTGATCATCTCAATAGATTCAAAATAAGCATTTGACAAAATACAACGCCCTTTCATGATAAAACACTCAGCAAACTAGGAATAGAAGGGAACTTCTTCAGCTTGACAAGGGGCACCTAAGGAAAGCACAAAACCAGCATCATACTAAATGATGAAAGACTGAATGCTTTCTCCTCAAGAACAGGAACAAAACAAGAATGTCTGTTCTTACCATTCACCTCCTGGAAAGTGGCATTTACCTTTCTAAATGGATACCCTGTCCCATCTTCTTTTAGCCCAGGAACCTTCCTGGTGGACAGAATTCTCATCCTCAGACTTTTCCATCCCCCTACACTGCCTTCGGCCACAGACTTGGCGTCTGGGAGAGGGTGGGTGGGCAAGGATGGTGACTTAGGCCATTTGGGCCATAAGAGAGACAAGCTCTGGCCTTGGATGAACTATCAGGGAAGGTTTTAAATCCTTCTCCCTCCCCCAAGTCTTTATCTGATGCTAATAGCAGCCTGTATAACAGGGGTGTGAAGAACCTCCATTCCGAGTGAGGGGATTTGCTTGGGGAGAGTGGCTAAGTAAAGACCAGAACTCCCTCTGCCCTCTTCAACAATCAGAACCCAGGGCCTTAGGGTGGGAGGGGGAAGCTTGCTCCTCAGAAAGAGAAAGGGAGGAGAAAAACAGAGAAAGAGCCAGGCCAGCAATTGCGGATAAACAAGGGCCTCCCTATGGCTGGCCCCAGGACACTTAGAAGCAGATCTGCAGGCAGAGTCTGCGATGAGTCCCCTAGAAGAGCTGCCATTATACCCCCAGTCCCCTGCTCGTCCTCACGGGAGCATCATAGTGTTACAAGTCTCCCTGGCCCAGGGCTGATTCATCTGACCCACAATGGACATTTCATATTTAAGTCCAGGCTCTTGGCGTGGGCAGGACCCCAAGTGGGGATTTCAGACTCTGAGGGCCAGATATTTGGAGCTGCATCCCTAAATCCTCCTGGAGCCTTCCAGAACTGCCACCTGGCTGTAGCATGAGCTTCTGACCAGCTTGGGCCTTGGGGACATCCCAGAAATCAGAAGCCCCGAATCAGAAGCGTGTTCCCAACCATACATCTCTTTAAAGTTCCCAGATTAATGCTGAAACCCAAGGGGGAAGAGCATAGAAGCTCTGGAAAACCCAGTGGAGCCTTTTCTGTCAGTTTTAATACCATTTGTCACAAGGCAGACCTGTGCCAGAACTCCGGGCTCTCTGGGCTCTCTGAGTGAGAAGCTGCAGCCTGCATTCGAGGAAACTGAGCCATGGACAGTGAGAAAGCATAACCCTCGGTGTCAAAGAGATGCGAGTTTAAAACCAAGCTCTGCCACTCAACAGCTGTGTGATCTTGGAGAAAAGTCCATGGGAAAAAGCGCGCTGCCAAACTGGACCCAAGGTGACGCCACAGTGCCCCCTGCCGGCCGAGAGCGCTCACTCTGTTCACATCTGCAGGCTGCATTGCCAATCCATAGTTCCCGTCTGCACACCGAGACACACTCCTGGGCAGGCACCTGGGCCCTCACCTGAGTACCCAGCATGGTGTCAGCAGCAGTCACCCTGGACTTGTGGCTTCCTGCCCCTCCTTGGAGGGCAGGGAGAACCCAGACAACAAGGCGTCAGCCCCACAGACCAGGACAGTGCTCCCTGGGGAGGAGATGTCTGGGACTCCTCAGTAGATTTGCAGATATGGTGTACAGAAGGAGGAAGGGAATTGAACTTCTACTCCAATTTTCATCTGGATAATTCCTGAGCCCGAGCACAACTGTATGAACTTGCCAACAACTCAGCATAAAGTGGAGAACCCAGCAGCAACGATAGCCATTCTAGAATCAAAAGCTACTATTACGTGTCATACATGGTAATAGGTGTCTCCTAAGCTGTTAATTCATAGTCAAAAGTCTTTTTGAATTTCTACTCTGTCAGGTCATGTGCTAGTGTTTGGGATACAGAACCGATGAGCCCTCTCCCACCACACACGCACACATTCCTATCTCCTTTACTTCACCCGCATTATTTTTTGACAGAGCACTTACCACCATCCAAAATATCATATATTTTACTCAATTTGGGGGGCACCTGGGTGCCTTAGTCAGTTAAGCATCTGCCTCTTGGTTTCAGATCAGGTCATGGTCTCATGGTTTGTGAGTTCAAGCCCTATGTCATGCTCCATGCTGACTATGCAGAGCCTGCTTGGGATTCTCTCTCTCCCTCTCTCTCTGCCCCTCCCTTGCTCATGCTGTCTCTCTCTCAAAAAAAATAAATAAACTTTAAAAAATAAAATAAAATGTTATATATTTTACTCAAAATTTTCTTGTTTTATTAGGTTACTGTATATATGGGCATGCATATGCATGTAGAGATTTTTGTTGTATTCCTAGCACTCATAAAAGTTTCTTTTACATAGTAGGTGCTCAGTTAATATTTATTGACTCAAGGACTTCACAATTTAGCAATGTTATGCATCCTTCAAAGTTCTCTGAAGTTAGGGGATTATATTATCCCTTTTTATGGATGATAAAACTGCAAGTCTTTGCATGGAGTAATTTGACTGTTCATGGTGGAGCTGAGAGGCAAACTTAGGTCTGCTGACTCCAAATCCAGTGCTGAGTGCCTACTCCCCCACACGGCCTGGAGCCTCCATTACACTGAGCTATGCTGGGCATGAGAGACAAAAGTAGAAAGGGCTGGTTGTTGGGGAGAAAGGTTCCCATCAGAGTCTCTTGCATAAAACAAGAACTCTTAAAGGTCAACACTTTCAGTGGGTGAACACAGAAAAAGAAAAGGAGTAAAAAACTGAAAATTTTTTAACCACTTACCTAGTCAATAGGGTAGGTAATAAGGATTCATATTGCCTTCAAAAACTAAAGTAATCGCAAATGGAAATTTTAGTTTAAAGTCATTTGAAGTTGGTAACACTTTCTGGCACCTGCCAAAAGCAAACATAAATTCTCTGGGAAAAACTTAACCCCAGGTCTTAAAGAATTCTCAAAGATAGTTACAAGGATCTAACTTTGTAATTAAAAGTCACAGAACATGCAAAGAAACAAGCTGCTGTGAGGAAGGTTCTGTGTCCAGTAATGACTCTGTGGATCAGACCACTTAACTCATAACAATATGAAAGCCTGACATTGTTGGAGAGCTAACAAACCAGTGGGAAACTGTAGGGTAGGAAGGAAATCCCAGAGAAGTTAGCCCATAATTTGAGGCCATTTTGACCACAGAATATTATAAAGAGACCCCAGCCCTCAGAGGAACTGAAGCCCAGGTTAAAACTCATATCAATCACTGATTAGATTAAGATTCTCTGAAATTTCCAGTGACTATAGTCTAGCAGCCTGCAGAAAAAGTGACCCTCTTAAAATGTAGATGCAATCATCCAGAGCCTCAAATTACCTCTTAATTTTTTTTACCTATAATGTCCAGCATTCAATCAAAAATAGCCAGAAATAACTGAGGATATTAGCAAAACTCAAAATAATCAATGAACACGAATTGCCTGGGTGGCTCAGTCAGTTAAGTGTCTGACTCTTGATTTCAGCTCAGGTCATGATCACATGGTTCCTGAGATCCAGCCCCATGCCGGGCTCTGGGCACTAACAGTGCAGAGCCTGCTTGAGTTTCTCTCTCCCTCTCTTTCTCTGATTCTCCCCCAGTACACTCTCTCCATCTCAAAATAAATAAACACATATTTTTAAAAATCAATGAACAGCAGAAACAGACGTATGGAACATCCAGGCTTTGAAGTTATCAGAAACAAACGTTATTGCTATAATTAATTGGTTCAATTAATTAAAATACAACAATTTCAGCAGAAAATGAGAAAGCATAAAAAAGCATTCCGAATAGAAATTCTAAAATTAAAAAATATAATAAAAATATGAACTCTATATGTCTCACAGAATGTGAGAGGTGTCCAGGATATGGTGAAAATATCTAGCATATTTGTATTTTGGAGGCCCAGAAGGAAAGAAGAGAGAGTAGGACAGAAATACTATTTGAAAAAATAAAAGCATAGAATTTGCAAAAGCTGATTTAAAAAAATATCAAGCCACAGATTAAAGCAGCACTGTAATTCCCAAGAAGAATAAAAGCAAATAACTGATGAAAACCAAAGTCAAAGAGAAAAAACATAAAAACATTCAGGAAAAAAAGTGCCTTCAAATGAGCAACATTAAGCTGATAACTGACTTTGAAATAGAAACAATGGACACCAGGAAACCAGGAAACAAGGACTGGCATTACTAAAAATAGCTGGCAAACTGGAATTCTATACCCAGTGAAGTATCCTTCAAAAGGTGAAAGAGAAATAGGGAGGTTTAAAGACAAACAGCACTGAGAAACTCATTACCAATAGAAACTTAAAAACACATATATTCTAATTAAAAAACTGCCCACAAACCAGATGCAAACCATTTTGCCAGTGAATTATCCCAAACAATTAAGAAAGAAATATCACTAATCTTTAACAAAATCATCCAAAGCATAGGAAAAGAGGGAGTTAAAATTCCAAGTTATTTACTGTGTTAGCAGAGAAAAACGTCATAGGATAATATTGAGAGAAACATTTGGATATGCTAAGTTCATGGATTGGTCTACTCTGTTGGAAGATGTCAGTTCTCCTCAAACAGGTCTATGCAATGTGATTCTAAAAATCATATGAATATTGGCATACCAGGCTTGACTGGACCTCAAGGAAAGTATGCTGAGTAAGAAAAAAAAATAATGAAGATTATATATTGTTTGATTCAATTTATATAATATTCTTGAAATAATGAAATTATAGAGATTGAAAACAAATCAGTGGCTGCCTGTGGTTAGTGATAGGAGTTTGGGGAGATAGCTGTTGCAATAAGGCAAGAAAAATCATTAAAGGATAAGGATTGGGAAGGAAGAAATAAAACTGTCATTATTTACAGATAACATGATTGTGTGTATAAACATTTAATGAAAACAAGTAAGACATTAAAATTAATAAAAGAATTCATCAAGGCCACTGGCTACAAGATCACTATAAAAATCTATCATATTTCTGTATTAGCAATAACAAATATTAAGACAAGAAGAGTCTTACCCCCCAGAAATGTATAAACTAAAACCAGTCATAAGAAAAAAAACCAAATCAAGACTGTAGGACATTCTACAAGATAACTGGCCTGGACTCTCAAAAATGCCAATACTATGGCAGGAAAAATTAGAGAAGGGTAAGGAGAGAGTTGTTTTCAACTAAGATTAAAGAGACATAACAAGTGAATGCAATGTGTGAATCCTAGATTGGATTTCAGACTTTTTAAAAACTTTTTTTATGTTTTATTTATTTCTGAGAGAGAGAGAGAGAGAGAGAGAGAGCGTGAGCAGGGGAGGGTCAGAGAGAGAGGGACACAGAATCCAAAGCAGGCTCCAGGCTCTGAGCTACCTGTCAGCACAGAGCCCGACGCGGGGATAGAACCCACAAACCCTGAGATCATGACCTGATCTGAGCTGAAGTCAGATGCCTAACCGACTGAGCCACTCAGGCGCCCTAGACTTTTTTTTTTTTTTGATGCATAATCTAGATAGCATAAAAGTCACCATTTTAAAGGATAAAACTCAGTGGTTTTTAGTATATTCACCAAGTTACACAACCATCACCACTATCTAATCCCAGAACATTTTTATCTCCCCTCCACAAAAATAAACCTGTACCATAGAAGTCAATTCCTCTTCCACACTCCTCATAGCTTCTGACAACCAATAATCTGCTTTATGCCTCTATGGGTTTGCCTGTTCTTGACATTTCATGTAAATGGAACCATACAGCGCATGGCTTTTTGTGTCTGGCTTGTTTCACTTCTTTTTCACTAACATTTCATTCACATTTCCAAGATTCATCCAGGTTGTAGCATGTGCTAATACTTCATATCTTTTTATGACTGAATAATATTCTATTCTATGGGTTTATCACATTTCGTTTACACATTCATCAGTTGATGGACATTTGGATTGTTTCTTTGTTTCGGGCTACTATGAATAATAATGTACATACACATAAACATATGTTTTAAATCCTCTTGGATATATACCTAGAAGTGGAATTGCTGGATCATATGATCACACTATATGTCTGACTTTTTTAGGAAGTGCCAAACTTTTTCAGAACTGCTATACCATTTATATTCCCATCAGCGATGTATGAAAGGTCCAATCGGTCCACATCCTTATCAGCATTTTTTAAAAATAGCCATCCTAGTGTGTGTGAAGTGATATCTTAGTGTGGTTTTATTTGCATTTCCTTAATGAATTAGAGATATTGGATACCTTTTCATGTGCTTATTGGTAATTTCCTTATATTCTTTGGAAAAATGTCTATTAAAATCCTCTATTTTTAGTGATTTTTTTCATCTTTTTATTGTTGTGTGAATTCTTTATACATTATTCTGTATATATGGATATATGAATATATCTAAATATATGAAAATCATATATTCTAAATATATGATTTGCAAATATTTTCTTTTAGTGTATGGTTTGTCTTTTCACTTTCTTGATAGTGTTAGGTTAGGTACAATGTTTTTAGTTTTGATGAAATCCAATTTGTAAATTTTTTCCTTGATTTCTTTGATTGCTTATGCTTTTAGTGTTATATCGAAGAAAACGTTGCTAATCCAAAATCATAAATTTTTAAACCTATATTTTCTTGTAAGAATTTTATAGTTTTAGCTCTTAGATCTAGATTTCTGATCCATTTTGAGTTAATGTTTTTGTCTCTGGTGTGCAGTACAGATGCACATTCAT